GGGAAGGGGTCCAGACCTCTGGGGACCGACGTTGTGAACAAAAACATTCAGAGGCGCGAGGGTTAAGATCTTCCTTGCTCGGGGGAGGGTTGCTAATGTTCTCCACTTTTTGGGGATGTAATTGTGCCACCTGGCGGAGGGCACCCTCGAATGTTATCCTGTTTCCTCAGCGGAAGGGCTAGTGTTCTTCATGAGTGTTTTTCTGTCCTCGCGCGCACTGTACGAAATCAGATGCACTCAGAGTAGCGAGGGGTGAGACAAGGGTAGCCTTTTTGCTTTTCTGGCTTTCGAAGAGCCTCTTCGTCGCCACGGCTGGATGCACCGTGAAAAAGAAGTGCGTTTGGACCTCCTCCTCCTCCTCGTGTTCCTCGTGCTCCTCCTCCTCCTCCTCCTCCTCCTCCTCCTCCTCGTCCTCCTGCTCCTTCTCCTCCTCCTCTCCTCCTCCTCCTGAAAAACCAGTGCGTTTGGATCTTGGGAGGGGTCCAGGCACGGATCTAGAGCCGATCTGGCCAGCGCTGTCCCACCGCCTCTGCTCCGAGCGCAGCTGGCTTTGGGTCCTCCGCGAGGGGCCCCTTCCTCGATGCATGGCCGCCTCGGGCGCCGGGAGACGCCAGGAACATGTTGAAGTATCGGTCACTTTGGGAGCCGCCCGATCGTTCAAGGTTCAACGATCGACTCGGGGTCAGGGCCACAGGGCCGTCATGGTTCATGCGGCGAGTTGTCTCCATACCCGTAGGCTCCCGTAGGCTCCCATACCACAAATCGATGGGAAGCCTTGTGTTCCAGGATTGGGCTTCTTTGTGGAGGGCTTCTTATGGCGAAACTCCCACTGTATCGCCTCGCGGCGGGGTCCTGGGGTCCGAATACTGTGTTTCATGTCGGCGTCCGCCCTAAGGCTCGAGTCCTTCCTCCACTGGGCTGCCCGGCGCTCCTCTCTGCCCTGCATGGGAAGAGCGCAGAAGGAGCGCCGGGCAGCCCAGCGCGCCGATGCGCGCGAGGCCAGCGTTGCGGCGGTGCTCGCCGCGGCGCCGGCCCCGCCCCTGCGCGCGCCCTTGCCCCCCGGGGCGTTGCCCCGGCCGGCGCCCGCACCACCGCTAGCGCCGGCGCGGATGCCGCGGAGCAGGAGCCTGCTGAACGTCCCGAACATGCACAAGACGGGGGACATCCACGGCGTCTTACCGGCACACGTCGGCATGGAGGTCCGGTTCACGGCCGTGCAGGAGGAGCTGAAGAAGAAGTTGGGGCTCGTGCAGGAGCAACGGGCCACCATCGTGTCCTTCGAGTTTCACGCAGACGACGAGCGGGACTACGAGGAGTGCGCGCCGGGCCAGCTCTTCCGCCCCCGCTTCCTACCGCAGGGAATCTGGCTGCATGTGCACGGCTTCCAGGAGTCCCCGATCTACAAGGAGGTCGCCGAGGTGCTGCTGCAGGGCACCGAGGGCGCTGACGACGACGGCGAGGCCCAGGCGCGGGCGAGGAGCTTGCTCATGTTCAGGCCCAGCGAGCAGGAGTTCACGTGGCAGAGCTCGGGGGCGCACACTGTGCGCCGCTCGGGATTCACGCTGACGCACGCGTCCTACCTGACCTCCACGCTGTCGCAGGGCCAGACGCTGCGCAAGGGCGTCACCATCGACTGCGCCAGGGATGAGGACGCTGGCCGCACGGGCATGTCGGACGATATGTGGTGGCTGCACCTCTACGTCATGTTCTCCCGCGCCACGTGCATGCGGAACATGCTGATCCTGCGGCCGCCCGCGCGAGAGTTCCTGGAGCGCGGGCCGCCGGCGTCACTGCGGAAGGCGCTCCAGGAGTTCGACGAGAGAGCGGTGGACTCCAGGGCTGAAGCGGAGCAGCTCGCGGCAGAGCTGGGCTTCGTGCTGCCGCCCGCCTGAGCGCCGCGGCGCGCGCGAGGAGGCCCGCGGGGTTGTCCCAACGGCCTGGCCCGCGGGGTTGTCCCGACGGCCTGCCCTCGCGCTCCGGCGGCCCGCGGGAGTGCCCCGCAGGCATGGCTGGCCCGAAGGGTTGACCCGACGGCGTCGCGATCTGGCCGTCGGCAAACGCGCGCGTTCTGACCGAGGCGGCGACGGCGCCGAGGAAAATCGACTTGCTTCCCCCGACCGGGGGGAAAGGGACGTGCACGTGGAAAAGAGGCAGGAGGAGGATGAGGACGGAAGGGGTATGGGGAGGGCGATGATGAGGAGGAGGTGGAGAAGGAGGAGGAGGAGGAGGAGGAGAAGGAGGGGGGGGGAAATAGAAGAAGAGGAAAAGATGGCAGAGGAGAGGGCGATACGAGGGTGTTTGCCATGGCCGGGAGGAAAGGGATAAGGGAAAACTAAACAGATTATCATGTGGGGTCCTTCCGTCGGAGTAATGTTGTTGTTGTTTTCCCGCCCCCCAGCTGCAGGAAAACACAAGACTGGAAATGATAATGGCAGGGGAGGAGGAGGAGGAGGAGGAGGAAGCGAAAGGAGAAGAGGGGAAGGGAAGGCGGAGCGGAGGACTGGAGGAGCGCAGATCGGAGGAGGAGGAGGAGAACGGGGACCCCTGGCCATCGACTCCCTGCGCTCACTTTGACTCGGGGGAGCGGGGACCCCCCAGGACCCACATATGTATGTATGTATGTATATATATATATACAGGTGTGTATAGATAGACATGTAATCATAGACCGCTGCATACTTAGCACCTGTTCGATTGCACTACAACGCATGCGCCGCATACATCGCACCACACTGATTGCACCGCATACGCATAGCAACACATAACTCACAGCCCATAGGTCGCACGATATAGTGCACAGCATAGCTTACACCACATAGCTCACACCAAATATATTCCCCTATAGAAGACGGGAGATCCACCACCCTCCCGAAACCGAACTTATCAATACCCCCTGGGGATGTGCACTTTACAAAAACATCCGCTCCATCGTCCATCCTAAATATGAACTCGTACCATCCCAGGCAAGCCGGAGCTCGCCCACGCCCTCCCCCCCGCGCACCACCCACCCATCCTCTGCAGCAAACACTATATACACATATCTCTCAATATATATATATATATATACGCACACTCGTGTATCAAAACCCATCAGTTTACTAGAATCCCTTGCAATGCGCGCGTTCCAGAATCCTTCACACACTCAAATGTCGCAAGGATTTCAAACTCGAGTGTCCCGAAAACAAATAAACACACATGGTTTCGTAACTAGGGTTTTCAAGGAAGGCCTGCGCCCTCGCTCTTGCGAGTACAAGTTGCTACCCAAAAAGGCCTCTCGCGCGATAATGTCGAAACCGTCCGAACGTGCGTGCTGTCGCAAGAACGCTTTGCTAGCAACGGGGCGAATTGCACGCGCGCGCGTGTCGTCGCGCGAGCATGCCGGAATCCTTCAAGAACCTCAGGTGTCGTAAGGATTGAAAAAACGACCGTCCCAAAACAATGAAAATGCATATCTTCGCAACATCTGCATTCAAAGAAAGCCTGCGCGCGCGCTCTGGTGAAATATTAAGGAAACCATGCTACTTTCAAATTTGCCATCCAATTCTGCCAAACGAGCCCCTCGCGCCACATTTCGAACTCATCCGAAAGCCCTTGCGCGCGTGCTGGGGGACACGGTCCGACACCGCGCGGGCGACTCGCGCGCGCTGGCCGCGCGCGTCGAACTCCTTCCAAAACCTTGCCAGGACATCGTCATCGTTACCGGCGGGCGTGATGAACATCGGCGCTGTCATTAACCTTGCCGTCGTCATCGCCACCATCGTCACTAGCATCGCTATTCTCATCATCGTGCCTACCGTTGCTGGCGTCGCCATGATACCGCGCCCGCCCAAGTCACCGACTCGCACTGACGTGCATGCTGAAATGCTCAGCGGTCAGCGCCAATGCGGCAGCGTCAGTCGCGCCACACTAGCTATTCGCTGCGCGCGCGAACATGCGCGGGCTAGCGCGGCCGCAGATATGCACCACCCAACGCCAAACATTCATCGCAATCGCCGTCGCATGTGTTTTGCAAACCAAGTTGCGGGTGGATGGGTGAATCGTTTGCGCGAGCAGTGGAGTTGACAACTTGAAGTTCGGCAGGGTGAATTGCAGCACGCATACTGTGCCTCAAAGCTTACACCACATAGCACACAGCACATAGATAACACCTCATATATCACACTCCACAGCCGACATGTCCACAGTGTAACATGCCACTATTTGGGGTCTACGCTGGCAGACTTCTGTTTTCGTTGGAACAAAATTAGCCTGGCGAAGGGCCCAACCATACGCACTTTCGAATTACGCAGGAAATGGCTCACTACCCGTTCAACCCCTCTTCCATCTTTCCCGTCCTCCTCTCGACGATCCCTTCACAATGCTGAACCGAAGGCTGGGTTGTTGAAGAACGGGCTGCCTCGCGTTCCAGATCCTCCACCTCCTCCTCCCCATCCACCCTGCTGCTCCTCAGTCGCGTCTTTCTCCACCTGTCCTGGGAGGACATAGAGGAGCCGCTACCGCTGCCCTTAAGTCGGGCCTGTCCCCCTACAGGGGGATTATCGACGAAAACTAACACATACTCCAAACATAATCCAAATATACTCCAAAAAAACAAAAAATAGCCTGGGAACTATTTTTTGAATATGTTTGTTGCCTTTTGGGGGTATTCTTGGGGTATGTTTTATTTGTCGTCGAAAATCCGTAGGAGGGGACACGCCCGACATAACGCTACCTCCTGGACCTCTCCAGGGGAGCATCCTGGCCATTAACTTCGAAGCGAATCCAACCGCGGCGACAAGGGCAGGGCAGCGGTATCGGCACATGCTCCTCTTCTGACTCCCCGTCCTCCTCCTCCTCCTCCTCCTCCTCCTCCTCCTCCTCCTCCTCCTCGTCTTCATCCTCCTCCTCCTCCTTGTCTTCATCCTCCTCCTCCTCCTCCTCCTCCTCCTCCTCCTCCTCCTCCTCCTCCTGTTCCTCCTCCTCCTCCTCCTCCTCCTCCCTCCCAACGCCGAGCCGAGGGCCATTGGGCGGGGGGTTGTCCAACATCGGGTTGGGCTCCACGCTCCAGGCCTTGCCACTGGTGCGGGACACGGCCCGTCGCGCGCGCGCAACGGAGATTTTCAGGCGGGGGAGGAGACGGAGGAAAAGGGGGGGGAGCAGGGCCGCGAGGGACGGGGGGGAGGAGGGCGGAGGAGACGAGGCAGGAGGGAGGAAGGGAGGAACAGGGGGGAGGAGGGAGGAGGATGCAGAAGGGCGAGGAAAAGGGGGGGACGGGGGAGGAGGGAGGAGGAGGGAGGAGGAGGAGGAGGAGGAGGAGGAGGAGGAGGAGGAGGAGGAGGAGGAGGAGGAGGAGGAGGGGCGGAGGAGGGGACGGGGGGGAGGGAGAGAGGGGAGGAAAAGGGGGGAGGAAGAGGGCAGGGCGGGGGAGGAAGAAGCGGGAGGAAGAGGGTGAGGGCAAGAGGGTGTGGTGCAGGGCCGTGCCGCTGCCGCTCTGGCCCAGGTCCGACGCCCGGTGCGCGAGCGAGGCGGGGGGGCACGCGGCGTCTCACGCCGCCAGGCTAGGCGGGTGAGGCAGAGGCTCGGCGGCGGGCCCGGCGGGGGGGGAGGTGGGAAGCAGAAGGCCTCCGCGGAGGTCGGCGGGGCTTCTCAAGGCGCCCTCCTGCCTTCCGACAGAGTGGTCTGCGTCTTCGGGGAGAGGCTCAGAGAGAAGCTTCTCAGCAGGCCGGGGGGGCTTCGGAACTCGCTGTCCGAGAAGGCACGCCCCTCCTCGCTTTGTCCCCCAGGCTCGCCGCCGAGAGGGGGCAGGAGGAGGCATGAGGGCGAGGGCGAGCAGGAGGGAGGAGGAACATCTCGATTCGTCCCACGGGGACTCCCCCGAGGAAGAGGGAGGAGGAAGAGGAGGAGGAAGAAGAGGAGGAGAAGAGGAGGACCAGGAGGAGATGGAGGAGGAGGACGAGGACCAATGCAAACCCAAGACGCATAAACGATTTTGAAATAAACCCTCCCTCCCACTTCACTGTTCAAACATTATTAAAGGGATGTATGCTGTATGTTCACTGCGGGTAGTTCCCAACTGTACGTAAAACAACCGTCTGAAAACCCTCAACCGTACCAAAACACACTTCTTGAGACTTCGACGCCGCGAAGTACCGTTACTGCTGCGCCATGGCGATCTGAATCGTGCCAGAACACCTTCCCTGGGACGTCATCCATACTACTCCTTGAGACTGCAAACTTTAAGACGAATGTGCGCGGCGATGAGGCGAGCACCACATTTTGAAAAGGAACCGCCCTCCATCCGTGAAGTTCTTGCAAACATGGAAGACGAATGTGCGCGGCGGCGAGGCGAAAAAACACTCTGAAAAGGAACCACCCTTCATCCGTGAAGCTCTTGCACACTTTTACAACGAATGTGCGCGGCGCTGAAGCCAGAGTTAACTGCCGGCCCTCCATCAGTAAAACTCGTTCGAACTTTTAGGTCGGATGTGCGGGGCGCTGAGGCGAGAAACGCATTTTGAAGACGACTTGTCCTCCAAGCGTGAAGCTCGTGCAAACTTTTGACACGGATGCGCGAGAGCCACATGTTGAAAACGACCTGCACTCCATTCGTCAAAACCGCTGCAAAGTTTAAGCTTAATGATCGTACATGGTGACGAAGTGTCGCGCGAAACGTCTGGCCCACCAGGATGGACAAGGAGCAGGAATAGGAGGAGGAGGAGGAGGAGGAGGAGGAGGAGGAGGAGGAGGAGAGAAGCAAGATGAGGATTAAGGACGGTGGCGAGTGGGGTGGGCAAACTCGGCGTCGATTGCAAAGCGCAGCGGCCGCTGCCTTCCCGTACGCCTCGAAAGTCGTCACGAGGGGCACCAGGTAGCTTTCGCGCTTGGGAGGCATGAAAGCGAAGTTCTGCTCCCAGTCCTCCTTCTCCGCGAGGGTGAGTTCCTTTCGGGCACACGCTAACATTGATTAGGGATGCGAGTGAGCGCCAGATCCACAGATCGGGAGGGCACTCCCTCTGGAAACGTGAGGCCAATGCTGACTGCTTTGGCGTCGGAGCGCATCGATCTTCTATGGAAGCGGAACCCGTCGCTGAACCACGTGCCTCCATCCGTGGTTATGATTCCTCGACCCTTGAGGACTCAGGAGACTCAGAAGGCCAACTTTCGAAACCTTGACCGCAGCCGCAGCGGGCCTTGCTAAAAAGCGCGGATGTCTTCTGAGAAGCCCTGCCGCCTCTGGAAAAGGCCTGCCTCCTCTAGAGGCCTCCTGGAATGGGGGTTGGAGAAGATGGGGTCGGAGGATCGCGACGCATCGGCGATACATCTGCGATACATCGGCGATGCATCGGCGATGCATCGCCGACGTCGGCGATGCATCGGCGACGTCGACGTGAAGCAAATCGGGCTGCACATCGAGCCGCATCGAGCCGCATCGGCGATGCATCGGCGATGCAGAGGAGGAGGAGGAGGAGGAGGAGGAGGAGGAGGAGGAGGAGGAGGAGGAGGAGGAGGAGGAGGGAGGAGGAGGAGGAGGAGGAGGAGGAGGAGGAGGAGGAGGAGGAGGAGGAGGAGACGATCCGCAGACCCCATCCATTCCGACCCCATCTGGGAGGCCCGGACCCTCTCGCTCCCCCCCCCCTTCTCGGCGCGCCGCCGGCCTTGAGGACGAGGCCCTGCGCGAAGTCCCCCTGGGCCTTCAGCAGGAACTCCTGCTCGGCTACACTGAAGGGGCCCTGGGACACACAAAAAATACACACAAATAAAAATATTCCCCATATTTTCCCATATTTTCTGGGTTTTGTCTTCCCCCCCACTTCCCATATTTTCCCATTTTTCGTGGGAATGGACGATTAATTGTGTCTGTGTGTTATTTTTTCCCCTCCTGATACACGCGGGCGGGTGACCCCGGGCGAGAGTGACCTCTCCGAGTGCGCGGCGTCCGGGGGGGCGCCGGGGAGGCCGAGCCCGAGCGCGCAAAAGCCGCGGCTACCGCACTGCAGTCATCGTCGAAGGCTTCACGACGTCTGCCGTCCGTCCACTCGCGCTGGAGCGGCCGCGAGTTGCCCCAGCTTGCAGCGATTTGCAGCGATTTGCCTGGATTTACCTGGATTTGCCTGGCTCGATCTGCATTTACCTGGATTCATCGGGCTCGGTCCCCACAGGTCGCTTGGCGAAACGTCCAGAAGCCCTCATAGGGAATTCCGCCACCTGGGGACCACGGTGTGCCCCCGCACCAGAGGTCCCTCCGGCGAAACGCCACCCTGCCCGTGCGGCCGATCCTTGTCCCCCACCCGGGTGGACGGCAGCAGCTCGGCGGCGAGGCCCTCTCCGGACTCGCAGAGGTCCTGCAGGGAGTCCATGATCGCCATCACGTCGCCGCCGGTGCCCTCGCCTGGGGGGCAGCGGCGGGCCCGGGCTTGGGAGCTGCTGGAGGTGCCCCCCAGGCCCCCGGGATCTCCAAGGCCCACACGCCCTCCAGAGCAAACGTCGCCGTCGGTGCCCTCGCCTAAGGGGCTACGACGGGCCCAGATTCGGGCGCTGCTGGAAGTGCCTCCCGGGCCCAAGGTGCCCCCCCGGGATCTCCGAGGCCCACACGCCCTCCAGAGCCAACGTCGCCGTCGGTGCCCTCGCCTGAGGGGCAACGATCGGGCCCAGACTCGGGCGCTGCCGGAAGTGCCCCCCGTTGCAACGAGGTGCCCCCCCGGGATCTCCAACGAGGCCCACGCGCCCTGCAGAGCACCCCCCGCACAGAGGCCCCACAGAGGGCCTCGGGGTGGGGGCTCCCAAACAGGGAGCGAGTCGAGCGGGGGGTGCTCCTCGGGCCAGGGCCGCTGGCGACCCTGGGGAAACCAACGGGTACCGATGCCGCTGCTCCCCGGGCCTCTCCCGGGGTGCGCCCTGACCAGAACTGCGAGGCGGAGCCAACGGAGGTGGCGCGGGCCTCCCAGGAGGCCCCATAAGAGGGGAAAGGGAGGGGAGGGTATAGAGAGGCATGGGTTGTTAATTACCTTCCCCTCCCCTGACCCCCCCCCCCCGGGGACAGATCTCCGACGAGGTATACGCGCTCCGTCGGGGCTGCGACCCTGCCTCGCGCCCTTCGGGCCCGCGGGGGGGCCCCCGCGCTCGGGCGCTCCGAGAGGAGAGGTCCGCCGCAGGGGGCCGGCGGGCGCGGCAGGGAGACTCTCCCCGGGGGAGCGGCGGGGCCCCGCGGGGCCGCGGGTTCCCAGACCTCCTGGCGTCGTGAGAAAATCACGACGGGAGGTTTTTCACTATTTTCGCCCTCGGGGGGCCCTTCCCGGGCCTCGGGACCGTCAGAAAACGATGCAGGACGAAAAACCGGTTCCGGGGAAGGGGTCCAGACCTCTGGGGGGCGACGTCGTCAAGAAATCACGACGTCGGGGGTCTGGGTTGAGAGAGCACCAGAGCTCGGGCAGGAGATCCACAGGTGCAGCATCGATTTGCCCACAGAGTGGCGTGCTCGTCGACTCTCGCCGAGCGAGTGCGCGGCAGTCCACGAGCGTCTTCGGTCTGTAGCGGATCCACTCTATACTCGACCATCGGCAGATGGCCGGGGTAGAGGGGGGGGACCAGCCCAGGGGGGAACGCGTGGGGCCGGAATCCGCGAAGCATCGCCGACAGATCGGCGATGGGCTCCCCGACGGCAGAACCCAACGCTCGTGTGCGAGGTGGGCCTTCGGGCCCCCGCCGGCGACCAAGGCGCGAGGGGCGGTCGCTGCGTCCCCCTCCCCCCCCAGGGAGCTGATCCGCCCAGGCAGCCCCTGCTCGCCGCTGCCGCCGCCGCTGCGCCCCGTCTCGAGGGACTCGCAGAGCTTCTTGGCGAGGGTCTCGCCGTCCAGATCCTCTCTGGCGCGGCTTTGCTGGAGGGGGCGGGTGCAACCAATCGGAGGGGGGAAGAAGGGCGTGCAGTCGCGCGCCTTCGGTCCCCCTCCGTTTTTCGGGCCCACCCATTCGTGCCCCACGCGTGCGCCTGGATCCCCCTTCTTTTTCGAGAAGGGTTCCCCGCTCGTGCACCTGTGGGGCCCCTAACGGCCCTTTCCTGCAGCCCCCGATCATCCTCGCACACGAACCCGGCGCCAGGGCCCTTGCCCTTGTTGCACGTCCTGCCCGCCTGCGCGTGCAGAGGGCATCAACACGCTACCATCGTGCCTGACCAGGCTCCTCCCGGGGCCCGAGGAATGGCCTGTTGCGCCCTCCTGGAGCCAGGAGGGCTACAGTCAGGTCGGGCATGTCCCCCTACAGGCGGGTCCTGGACGAAAAACCAAACAAACTTCAAGAATGGCCAAAAAGAGTCGAACAATCGCCCCCCGACTATTGCTATACTATGTTTGCACATTCCTCCTGTAGGGGGACGGGCCCGACTTGGGGCTGCAGGGACCGCGCTACCGCGAGCAGCGCCGACGAAGGGACGCGAAGGTCTTGCTCTGGCCGCGGCGAGCCTCCACCACGAATCGGGCCCCTCACGGCGTGAACCCGAGGAACGGCCCGAAGACTGGAGCCCCTCCCGATACCCCAAACCCGGTCCTCATCCCGGCGTCTCTGCTGCACACGCGCCGGTCGGAAGAGGTAGGCGAAAGCACGAAGTAGGAGGGCGGGGAGAGCAGATGGGGTCCAGGCCCTCCCAGAGGGCAACAAGCCGCAGCGGAAGCAGATCGGTTCTTAGCACAGGAAGCAGGCTGGGATCTGGGATTCTTTTTCGTTATACAGACAACACCTAGTTTCAACGACCGGCGCGTAACTACACAACTACACCAGTGGCCCTGGGCCCAGGACGGCCCCGGCCAGGCACGGTGGCTGTGCCGCTGGATGCCCCCCGCGGAGCCGTGCAGAGGCTGTCGCCGCACTGGCACGGGCGCACCAGCGCCTCCACGTCGGCCGTCTCGGCGCACGTGTCGAAGCACCTGGCAGGTCTGCGCTGGATCGCATCGCGAGATCGGATCGGATCGAGAAAGGATCGGATCGCCAACGAATCGTCCCGAATCGGATCGGCGTCGCATCGCCGCGCTCCGCTTCCGGCTGGCCCTGGCCGGTGCCGGTGCCGGTGAATTGACTACCAGACCACCCCAACCCAATCCGAAGACCTGAATTCGACCCGAATTTCGGGTTGGGGGGGGGGGTACGGGTTCCATGTGTTTTTTCAATGTTCCCCCCCCACTGGAAATGGAGGGCAAATTGAGGCCTTCGGGTTGGGTCGGGGTGGTTTGGTGGGTGGTGGTGAATGGAGCCGGATCGCATCGAATGGGAATCGCGGCGCCTCAGCCAGCGAGTCGAATCGCACCGAATCGGCTCGCAGGCGGCCCCTGCCTGGTGCAGTAGCTCCAGGGGCCGTCCCAGCCGGAGTTCTCGGGCAGCTCGGGCTGCCAGGAGCACCACGGCGCAAGCACCTCCGAGTACTCGAACGCGGTGTGGGCGCACTGCGTGTAGTCCTGTCGGCTGCGCGCAAGGAGTGCCTCCCGGCAAGAGTGACCTCTGGTGCGCAGCTTTATGGAGGCCTCGCATATGGGGTCCGCGCACACGGGGTCGCAGGATCACGCCGCATCCTCGGTGCATCGGCGATGCATTGGCGACGTCGGCGATGCATCGGCGACGCCGGCGCGGAAAAACACGGGCGCCAAATCGAGCCGCGTTGTCGAGGTATGGGCGATGTCGTGCGGTCCGTCGGCCTCATCTGCTCTGACCTGGTCTGAGAGGCCTAGACCTTAGGGCGGCGGGGGGGGGCGGGTCCAAGCCCACGCGCACAAGCCGCTGCTGTCCCACCGCGCGAAGCGATCGGGGAGCCCCAGTGCGCGGGCACCCACGGGCCACCCTGGCGAAGGGCCACTGCTGCACGGATCCGATCCTCGTTCTTGTACCTCCACTTGTCGATGCAATGCTCTGGAGCGCGGAACCCGTCAACGCACGGCCTGTCGCTGTCGAGCTTCTCGTCAACGTGCATGAGGAGCCCAGCGGCGATTACCTTGAGGCCAGCTGGCCCGCCGTCGAAATTCTCACATATCTGCGGCAGGAAAGAGTTCTCAGCCGACGACTGTTTCTTCTTGAATACGTTTTCGAAAGCTTCTGTCCAATCCTTGACGCACTTGCTCGGTGTCGACTCCTCCTTGGGCCACTTGCATGGCGCCAACATCTGCGTCGAGACGAAGATGAACAGCCGGCAAGCGTACACGCCCGGCGACTCGATGAGCTCGCTGCCAATGTCCGTGCCGATGACGCGGCCCTCGAAGACCTCGATGCTTGCGTTTTGGAGGTAGTCGACGATTCCTCCAAAGAGCACGGCCTCATTCTTCTGGGTCTCGAAATTGAAGGCCTGCCAGGCCCGCTTCCCGAGCGGGTTCTGAGCGTCCGGGTCGGGCTTCCTGCCCTCGTGGGAGGGTAGACAACACATTGGACATACATATAAATCTCAATCCATACATCTGTATACAACATGGACATACGAGAACCACGCGCGCGCTAGGCGCACGATTGTTTTCTAGCCGACTCCGAAGATGGTACTAGAGGGAACGGAACCGATCCCGCGGCGCTTTTCCGCACAACCATACACCTTATAGCCCTAACGCCCTAGCCCGAACATCCGAAACCTGGCACCAACACTGGAACACCGTGACCCTCATCGTTACTTCCAAGGCCGCATACCCGAACCCTAACACCCTAAACCGACCACCCGAGCCCCTGACAACTTTAGCCTAACACCTAACACCAACCAGCATCCCAACCCTGACAGCCTCTCCCAACACCTGCATACCCTAACACCCTAACCCGAACACCCTACCTCCAACGCTCCAGTCCTAACACCCCGACCCTAACATCCTCACCGTAACGCCCGCACCTGGCCCATCTAACTCCAAAACCTGAACCCTGACACCCTAGCCCGGACACACTGACAAGACCCTCACCCTCGCACCCTAGCTCTAGCAACTCCAACGCCCGAACGCTAACAGCCGTACCTTAACACCCAAACCCTGACACCTACACCGCGTTGCCCTTACACCCGAACGCTGAAAACGTAACCCTAACACGCTAACCATCACACGCTAACCCTAACACCATGACCGTAACACCGTAATCTGAGCCCTGACATCCTATCCATCGCACCCGAACGCCCGGACACTGACCCGAACCATAGTACCCAAGCCCTGACGCCCTGACCTCTCACACTCAAACCACAACACCCTAACCCTAATACCAGAACCCTAACATCCTCACCTTGACGGCCAGACCCGAACATCCGAACTCTAACACCCTCACCTCAACACCCTAAACATCTTGGGACCCTGTGGGGGCCTCTGGGCCCCTCTGGAGGCCGCTTGGCATCTGGCGAGAACGCCTGAACTATAGAAAACACTCACATGTTCGGCATGCTGGAGCGTTTTGGGAGCCCTCTTGGGCCCTTTGGGGCCCTCTGGGCCGCCTCGAGGGAATCCTTAGCTCTTTTGGCGCGGTGTTCCCAGAACATGGCGGGAATCATGGCAAGAATCCTCTTTTTGGAGCCCTCTTGGGCCCTTTTGGGGCCTCCTCCGTCCGTCTTGGGGCACCCTTGGGAAAATGTGTTCTTTCCTGGGTCCGCCTTGGGCCGTCTGGGGGCAATTTCCCGCCGTCTTGGCGCCGTCTTGGGCCGTCGTGGAGCTCTTTTTGGGGCCACTGCGGAGGTCTTGGGGCGACCTGTGGGGCCTCCGGAATCGTCTTGGCTCGTTGGAAGGCCGGACCAAAAATGAACCCAGAAATCCATTAAACAACAAAGGGAGAACTACAATTGTTCTCCCACCCAGATTTTCCCGTGAAGAGACCGTCCCTGGAGCCTCTCGAGCCGCCTGTGGGCCATCTGGAGCCCGCATGGAAGGCTCTTGAGCTGTCAAACCTTGGATGCTCCTTCTGGGGACCTTCCTGGAGCCACTCGTTCCACCCGTGCGTCGAAGCTGCGTCGAACCTGAGTCGAACCTGAGTCGAACCTGCGTCGAACCTGCGTCGAAACTGCGTCGAATCTGAGTCGAAACTGCGTCGAACCTGAGTCGAATCTGAGTCGAACCTGAGTCGAACAGATCCGTCAGGTGGGCCCCAGGAAGGTCCCCAGAACGAGCATCGAACAAACCCCTCTCCGAAGCATCTCGGAGACCGTCTGGACTTTGTTGTTAAGCGCGTCTTGTTCCCCGTCGGGAGCGCCGATGGGGCGCCCCCGATGGCCTCTCGGAGGCTCCTCGGGGTCGCTCCGAGGCTCCCAGACTGGCCATGCGGCACCTTGGCGCCGGTCCGCCTCCTCCCACTTATATATATATATATATATGTGTATATATATATAGCTACACAGATAGATATTGATTGACACATCGACAGATCTACATACATACATACCTACATACATACATACATACATACATACATACATACACACATGCATGCATACTCACATACCTATATACATGCATGCAATTAAAACATACAAGCATACATCCATATTTTCATGCACACATACACATATGAATAGAGTACATACGTACACACATACATCATCACATACATCCATATATGCACACCACCACACACATACAACACTACATGCATGCATAATCACAAACATACATGTGTACATGCATATATTTGTATACACATGCACACGTGCATATTTAACACCATACACAAATACATGCATGAACACACATACGTACATACATGCATGCGTACGAACGTACGTACGTACATCCGTCCATACATACATGCCGAACTACTACCTAACTACATACATACGTACGTACGTACTGACGTACATACACACATCCAAACACTTACACGCATCCATGCATGCATGTATACGAGAGAGCGTGATCCACCGCCGCTTTACTGTGGAAAATGTCCTCCCTCTTCCTCCGGAACCCCGGCCCCCCCCCACCCTACCCTCCCTTCCCCCGGTAGCCCCCCCCCTCCCCTACCCCCCCCCCTCCCTTCCGAAAAAACCGGGGGGGATCACTACCAGCTCGAACCCCCCCCCCCCCCGAAAAACCGGGAGGGAGGGGTCACTACCGGTTCGAACCCCCCCCCCTCAGAAAACCAGAGGAAGGTCATTACCGGTTCGAACCCCCCCCCACCCCTCGAAAACCGGGGGGGAGAGGATCACTACCGGTTCGAACCCCCCCCCCCTCGAAAACCGGGGGGGGTCACTATAGGTTCGAACCCCCCCCTCCCCCCTCCTCGAAAACCGGGGGGGTCACTACCGGTTCGAACCCCCCCTCCCCCAAAACCGGGGAGGGTCACTACCGGTTCGAACCCCCCCCCCCCCACGCTCACCGCCAGCAAACGACTCCCGGTCCCTGCCACCGTCCGCACCACGTCCCCCACTGCTGTCCCCAGCACCACTGTCCTCACCACCACTGTCCCCACTGTTCCCACCATTGTCCCCGCTGCCCCACCCCTGTTCCCGCCTCGGTTCCACTCTCCCCACTTTCTCCACGGTCCCCACCACTGTCCCACTGTCCCCACTGTACCCACTACTGTCCCACTGTCCCCGCCGCTGTCCCACTGTGCTGTCCCAGCGTCCCCACTGTCCCCATCACTGTCCCACTGTCCCCACTGTCCCGGCCACTTTCCCTACTGGGCTACTGTCACCGCCTTCACCACTGTCCCCACCACTACCTTCCCCACCACTGTCCCACTGTCCCCACCACTGTCCCGCTGTCCCCTCACCACTGTCCCCACCACCACCGTCCCCACCACTGTCCGCGCCACTGTCCCACTGTCCCCGCACCACTGTCCCCACCACCACCGTTCCCACCACTGTCCATTGTCCACCTGTCCCGAGGAGCGGGAAGCGTTTGCCGGCCCGGCGGCGAGTGCAGGGGGGGGCAGGGGGGTTCGAACCTGTAGTGACCCCCCCCCGGTTCTCGAGGAAGGGGGGGGGGCCCCGGGGGGGGGTTCGAACCGGTAGTGACCCCCCTCGGTTTTCGAGGGGAGTGTGGGGGGGGTTCGAACAGGTAGTGACCCCCCCCCTTTCATGATGGTCTGGTGGGGGGGGGGAAGGGGTTCGAACCGGCAGTGACCCCCCCCGGTTCTCCGGAGCTCCAGGGGGGGGGGGGGTCGAACCGGTAGTGACCCCCCTCGGTTTTCCGCCAGCAGCGGTAGAACACGCTCTTTCATATATACATGCATTCGTGCATGCATGCGTACATGCATATACACAGGCTTACATGCATGCGTGCATACACACGTACATGCGTACACATTTTGATACTTGCATGCGTACGTTGAGATGTATATTTGTTGTATACGGACATACGCAGATACATGCATACACTTACACACATTGATACATGCATACACTTACACACATTCATACACATACACACACGCATACGCATACACATACACATGCATACATACATACACACATACGTACTTGTATACATACATGCACACATACATGCATCCAAACATCTATCGGAGGTTGAGGGGTGAGATTGCAATGGAACGGAGACCCCCAACAGGGGAATCGTTTCCTTTCGTTCGTGTTGTGCGTGCGGGGGAGGCGAAGCTGAATAGGCGCGCGAAAGGAATGACTCCGCCGCTGCTAGGGCGAAGTCAAGACAAGTGTTTCTTCTCCGTCCGGCGGTGGCTCGCGGTGTCCCGCGGTGTCCCGCCGTTGCTATGCGAAGTCAAGACAAATGTGTCTCCTCCGTCCGGCGTTGGCTCGCAGTGTCCCGAGGTGTCCCGCCGTTGCTAGGGCGAAGTCAAGACAAATGTTTCTCCTCCTTCCAGCGGTGGCTCGCGGTGTCCCGCCGTTGCTAGGGCGAAGTCAAGACAAATGTGTCTCCTCCGTCCGGCGGTGGCTCGCAGTGTCCCGCGGTCTCCCGCTGTTGCTAGGGCGAAAACAAGACAAATGAAATGTTTCTCCTCCGTCCGGCGGTGGCTCGCGGTGTCCCGCGGTCTCCCGCCGTTGCTAGGGCGAAATCAAGACAAATGATTCTCCCCCGTGCGGAGGTGGCTCGTGGTGTCCCGCGGTGTCCCGTGGTGTCCCATGGTGTCCGCCGTTGCTAGGGCGAAGTCAAGACAAGTGTTTCTCCCCCGTCCGACGGTGGCTCGTGGTGTCCCGCGGTGTCCCGTGGTGTCCCGTTGAGTGAGATCGATAGTGAAATCGATAGTAAGATCGATGAGCTCGATAGTGAAATCGATAGTGGGATCGACAATGAGATCGATAATGAGATCGATGTGGTGTCCCGCGGTGTCCCGTGGTGTCCCGTGGTGTCACAGAAAATGAGATCGATAGTGAGATCGACAGGTGTCCCGTGGTGCCCCGTCGAGTGAGATCGATAGTGAGATCGATAGTGAGATCGATAGTGAGATCGATGTGGGATCTCGAGATGTCCCGTGGTGTCCCGTGGTGTCCCGTTGAGTGAGATCGATCGTGAGATCGATAGCGAGATCGACAGGTGTTCTGTGGTGTCCCGTGGTGTCCCGTTGAGTGAGATCGATAGTGAGATCGATAGTGAGACCGATAATGAGATCGAGAGGTCTCGCGCGGTGGCCCGTGGTGTCCCGTTGAGTGAGATCGATAGTGAGATCGACAAGTGTCCCGTGGTGTCCCGTGGTGTCCCATTGAGTGACATCGATAGTGAGATCGATTGAGTCAGATGTTGGTTCCCCCTCTCTCCCCCCCCCTCACACAACCTCCGTATCACCCGAAGGGTGGTCGTATAGGTACATGCATACACGCACACGCATACATGCATGCATGCATGCATACCTCCATACATACACGCACGCACGCACGCACGCACGCATACATGCATGCATGCATGCATGTATGCATGTATACATACAGAAACGCACAGACACACAGACACACAGACATATAGACAGACAGACAGACAGACAGACAGACAGACAGACAGACAGACAGACAGACAGACAGACAGACAGACAGACAGACATACAGACAGACAGACAGATAAACAGGCAGACATGCTTAAACCAAAATGCATGACTAAATACAGAAACAAGCACTCCCAGACCTCCGCTCGGACGTCCTGGATTGGCGCTGGACTCACCGCCAGCACGGCCCCACGCCGATTTGCAAAACTCCGCGCGGAACTCCGAACAATTATGTCAGTGCGATGTTTGTTTCCTCCTCCGGCCTCGAAGACGGACACCAGCATGGAGTAGCCTACGGAGCCGATGTTCTGGAGCAGGTCGAGGTCCTCAGCCAGGTGGGTCACCAACTTGTCCCAGTGCTCCTGCGCCACCCCCACGCTGGCCGTCATGCCGTCCTCCGACACGAAGTGGGCCACCCAGTTCGCGTCGCGGTGGACGTCGGAGGCGTCCTCGAGGGAGCGGAAGGTGGGGACGCCCTTGATCGCATACCTCCTGTACATCCCCAGCATGGCGCTGTCGAGGTACGCGCTGGCCGAGACTCCCCAGGTCTTGTGGAACGCCCTCCACGCCGCGCCGAGAGGCATCAGGTAGCTGGCACGCCTTGGGGGGTGCTCGGCCAAGTTCTTCATCCAGAACTCCACGGACTTCGGATGCAGGGACTCGATGGTGACGCCGTGCTTCAGGTCCCCCATGGCCATCAGCACGAAATCGAGGGTAGAATTGCTCGAGCCCGTGAGGACGGGCTCGAAGCGGAGCGGCGGGATGCTGCCCGCCTTGTGAGCGTTTTTTGATTCGACGCTTCGACATTGGGCGGAAGGGGGGGGCCTGGCCGCGGACCTCTGCTTGGTGCGACTGTTGGCAACCGTGCGTCCTATGGGGAAGACTCCACCTGCTTTAAACAGGCGCCGAAAACAGCCAAGGCCTACTCCATAATCAGGGGTGGGGGGAGAGGGGGGGACCCGCTCCCGGAGCGAGGGCCCGCGCCGATCGGCAGAACGGTGAATACAAAAACGACCACCTTCTGCTGCTCGCAGAGCGCGGCCAGCTGCTGCAGGATGGTCGCCATGTCGTCGCCCAGGTGGTCCACGGTGAGCTGCAGCCCCCTGTCGCAGACAAACTTCGCGATGCGGCTGCCCGGGTCGAGGCCCTGCCCCCTCTCCGCCCGGACGAGCTCGGCCCGGCCGACCGCGGTGGCGTCGAGCAGCGCGATCTTGTAGGCCTCCAGCACCTGCGGCGCGAACGGATCGTACTCCTCTGGAAGAGAGTTAATAACAATAACAATAATACTGATAATGACAGTAATAATAATAATAATGATAATAATAATAATATTACTAATAATAAAAATAACAATAATAGCACTAATAATAACAACAATAATAATACTAACAATAATAGTAGTCAGAACAATAATATGATAATGATAATCGGCGTACTGCTAAAATACGAAGAATAACAAACCCCGCGCCCGCCGGGGAACCCCTGGCCGCGCTGGCCGACCTGGCGGGGACGGATGCCGCCTCTTCTTCGGGTCTCGCAGCACCCGTCCCCCCCCCCCCCCCCTACAGAGGTGGCGCAGTCTCCGTGCCGCCGCGCGGGTGCACGGGGAGCGCCCGAGGAACGGCCAATGGGCGGGCCCACGAGGCGGCGTGCTCCGTCCGGGCCCGGGGGGTTGCACCCGCAGTCAGCATCTTGGCTGCACGCTGGGGGGAGGAGGAGGAGGAGGAGGAGGAGGAGGAGGAGGAGGAGGAGGAGGAGGAGGAGGAGGAGGAGGAGGAGGAGGAGGAGGAGGAGGAGGAGGAGGAGGAGGAGGAGGAGGAGGGGAGGAGGAGGAGGAGGAGGAGGAGAGGAGGAGGAGGAGGAGGAGGAGGAGGAGGAGGAGGAGGAGGAGGAGGAGGAGGAGGAGGAGGAGGAGGAGGAGGAGGAGGAGGAGGAGGAGGAGGAGGAGGAGGAGGAGGAGGAGGGAGGAGGAGGAGGAGGAGGAGGAGGAGGAGGAGGAGGTGGAGGAGGAGGAGGAGGTGGAGGAGGAGGAGGAGGAGGAGGAGGGGAGGAGGGAGGGGGGAGGAGGAGGAGGGAGGAGGAGGAGGGGGGAGGGGGGAGGAGGAGGAGGAGGAGGAGGAAAGGGAGGAAAGGGAGGAAAGGGAGGAGGAGGAGGAGGAGGAGGAGGAGGAGGAGGAGGAGGAGGAGAGTAGAGGCCTCCCAAATGGGGTCGGAGTAGATGTGGTCGGGGGATCGCGCAGCATCGCCGACACATCGGCGCTGCATCGGCGATGCACTGGCGATGACTCGTCGACGTGGGCGATGCATGGGCGACGTCGACGCGAAGCAAACATCGGGCTCCACATCGAGCTGCATCGGCGATGCATCGGCGATGCAGCGCGATCCTTCGACCCCATCCACGCCGACCCCATCCAGGAGGCTTGTGATCATACCCTGTAGCAGTCGGGGTTGGGTTGCTTCTGGCGACGACGAGGGCTCCTCCCAATTGGGGCACTCCGAAGCTGGAGAGCTGTCGGATGCCCGCACGCGAAGGGAGCACTCTCCGTTGCCGAGGGCCATCAGCGGGATCACGGCGGCAACGGACAGGTCGAAGCTGTCCTGGTCGAAGTACTCCCCCGAGCTGTCCGCCCTCGAGAGCCCCGTCTCCACCACCTGCCCCTTCAGGCCTGCCCTGCCCTCCACGGACACCCTGTAGCCCCTCCTCTTCAGCAGCTGGACCTGCTCCTCGCACTCCCGGTACGCGGAGCAGGTGCTGTGGATGACCACGGGCTTCCTGCACGAAGGCTGCGTGACCTCCTCGAGCAGCCTGCTCTCCTGCCTCATCGCGGCAGCGTTCACTGCCTCCCAGCCGCTCTGGGACACGCAGCCGTACCTCTTGGCGAACCGCGCGAGCTCCTGGTAACCTCGATGGTGCCTTCTCCAGGTGCTCCTGTCGAGACCAGTTGGCACCAAATTGGGAAACTGGATCGAATCGAAGTGCACGTCCGGACCAAACCGCATCGGCACGGAGCAGGGATCGAACCAGACCGGCTGCGCCAGGATGCACAGTAACACGCCATGCAAGCATTGGGCCGCATCGTGTCGTTGCAGCTTTGGGGCCCCAGAGCGGTGCGGTGACAGACCCCGCGGAGACGTCGGGACTCCGAAAGACCTCTCCGCACAGTCCGTCGCCGCAAGGTCTTGAGGCCTCGGAGGCCCCACTTGCCCGAGACACCCTTGGGGAGCGACTCGAGCCTAAAAACCGATCGATCCCCCCGAATCCGAACTGCCGCATCGCACGGTGTGGTCTTCAATCCCCCGTTTGGGGGCCCCCCCGATCGCCAGTCCGCCAAAGGCGTGAGCGGACCGGGCTGGCCGGGGTCGACACCGAGCCGGATCGCAAGGGGCTCTGTCCTGCGGAGCTGCACGGCGCTCGAGGCGGCCGGCTCGCTGTCCAGGGCGGAGGGCCCGACGACGAGGGAGGCCGGGGCCGCGCCCTCCACGCAGGCGGCCCTCTCCACGTTGGACATCTTCCTCCAAGGACGCAGAAGAGGACTCTATTAGAGGGAAAAGAACTATGCACATGCACCGATTCTGGCCAGGCCCATCCTGAGCCCAGGATCGGTGCATACGCCCTCCTACCTTGGCCAGGAAGGCATATGCACCGATCCTGGGTCAAAAATTGGCCTTGCCAGGATCGGTGCATGTGCATAGTTCTCTTCGCCCGATCTATAGGACTACATGTTCTCCCCCCTTTGGGGAGGCGCACGGCCGAGCAGGATCGGGGAGACATCATATAGACTCGTGTGGTTACGGGGGACTCGGGCGGGCCCCACGGGGCCCCTCCTGAAACTGCCGCGGCCCCCTCGGACATCCGGCGCGGGCTCCCGCTGCTGACTGAAGGGGCCCCAGTGGACACACAAGTAGATACACACGAACAAAAATATTCCCCATCTTTTCCTACATGTTCTCGGTTTTTGTCTCCCCCCCCCCACTTCCCATATTTTCCCATATTTTCTGGGGAATCGACGATGAATTGTGTCTGTGTTTTTTTCCCTTCCTGACTTACGCCCCGCGAAGATCGGACCGTCAAATTCCGGGGCGTGCTCGTCAAAACACGTCGGGGACGCAGTGGCCCCGGGTCAATGCACACCCGGCCAGTCAGGCCTTACAAGCTCCCGCAAGATCCTGCACCCAAACGCGGGTCCATGCCAGGGATCCTGCAACGCCCTGCAGGATCCTGCGCCCAAGCCCGGGCCAGTGAGCCCCTGGCCCTGCAGGACCCTGCAAGATCGGGCGCTCTGGCTGACCCCCGTTTGCATGGACCCCCGTCTCAAGGCTCCCGGCGAGCATCGGACCGTCAAAATCCGGGGCGCGCTCGTCAAGAAACGCCGGCAAACCCGAGTTCCGGCTTATCGGGGATGGGCAGAACCCCCTTTCGTAAAGCGTGGCTTAGTGAAACCGACCTCGGGCCCAAACCTGGCGGGCGCAAGCCTGGATCGGGAGCGGCAAAGAGGGGGGTGTCCAAGAGGGGGGGGGTGCAAATCATGACCGGCGGCATGTGCGCGGCCCAGCGGGGGGGCCAGGGACGTATTGAAACAAGAAGAGGCGCCGCGAAATCTGGGGAGATATCATGGCCCACGCCATGACATCCACCCCCCCCCAGTCATCACCCCCCTCTTTTCCGCCCCCGAAACCTGGCGGGCGCAAGCCTGGAGCATGACGGCCGCGGCGCCCTCCCGAGAACCGGGAGCGGGCAACTCGCGGATCGACGCCTCGGGGCGGGGGCCTCGGAGGCCACGGCGCGCTCGCTGCCTGGCGAGACCTGCAGCGACGCCGCCGCGGACCTGCCGCCCCTGTTCGGTGAGCCCTGCGAGCGTGGCACGCTGCCGCCCCAGCGAGGCCTGGCCTCCCAGCGTGGCCGCCCGGCGTGGCCCCCCCCCGGCGTGGCCTCCCCGGGGTGGCCTCCCGGCGTGGCCGCCGGAGAGACGACGCCGAGGACGGAGCGCGAGCAGGGACGGAGTAAGACCGCTCGGGCACCCTCTCTCTCTCTCTGATATAACATTAGGTCGGGCAGTTCTCCTGCAGGGGGACGTTCGACGAGAAAGAAAGAGTTGGTCGACAAGTATTCAGGAGCGCTGGAAAGAGATTCGAACCATCGTGCCCAGAGTATGTTCGTTGGCTGCTTCTGAATCTCCCTCCCGTAGAGGGGCTCGCCCGACTTAAACCTAGCATTAAATCGGGCCTGTCCCCCTACAGGGGGATTTTCGACGAAAAATAAAAAGTACCCCAAAAGATAATCCAAAAATAATCCCCCAAAAAGTCTGGGGACTATTTTGGGTGTATGTTTTGACATTCTTGCGGCATTTATGGGGTCTTCTTAATTTTCTACGAAAATCCCCCTGTAGGGGGACAGGCCCGACCTAAACCTAGCACGAGCATGTCTGCGCGGTGCCGAGTCCTGGCCGCCTGCACCTCCTCCTCGGTGAAGTCCCGCGAGGCCTCCCGAACGAGGCCCGCCATCTCGGCGACCACGTCCGCGAGGTTTATGCTCTCGCACGTGGGCAAGTGAGGCGCCCTGGGCTCTCCTCTATCCTTCGAGGGCAAACGAAAAGTCCCCCCCCATAATGATCACCCCGACGCGCGAGGCCGTTTAGAAAACGCGCCCACAGAAGGAATCGAACAGGGCAGGGCTGTTTAGCAAACGCCCGGGGCCGTTCAGTAAACGCCGATTGGTCAGGTCCGGGTGGATTGTCCTCCCCTGAATCCTGAGACTCGGAGCACTTCTGGTAGATGAAGGCTGCCTCGTACTTCTGCGGCGCCAGGGTCGGGTCTACGCCAGGGGGCACCTCGATCCCCGACTTCGAGTGCTCAATGATGAAGGCCTGCAGGCTCTCTGAGTACGTCTCGGGATCGACGTCGGTCAGCTTCATGCCAGGATGCACCACTCTGTTCATCGCAGCGAAGAAGGCCTCGTAGAGCGAGTACGGCTGCAAGACGTTCGCCAAGCTGATCGCCCACAGGTAGATGCAGCTGTCCCACGGCGCCGCAGTGCCAGAAAAACCTCCGTCCCGCTGGAAGAAGGCGCGGTGCATCAGGCTGTTCGCGTCCGGTGCCCCAGGGCACACTCTGCTCAGGGTGTTCGCGTCCTGATGGCGCAAATTGAATAAGGAAAAAAACAACATAAACAGTTGGAGGTCCGCGCGGATTTCTTGGACCCGCGCTGGGCGCCCCTCCCTGGCGCGCGGAGCGCGCCAGGGAGACGCCGCCAGGGGGGCCCAGGCGCCGATCCAAGAAATCCGCGTAGAGCGCCAAACAATTGTGTTTATGGCGTTTTTGTTCTCTTCTTCGGGCAAAAAAGACACACCCTCGGGAATCTCTTGACTCGGGTCAATCAGACCCGGGTCAGCAGAAAACCAAAAAACTGGACCGCAGGAAAAAACAGCTGCAACGCAGGGCTTCGCAAGCCGGAGTCAGCGAAGCGAATATGCGCGGCCGCCTCGCGGCCACGAGCGGCTCGCTTACCCGCGTCCGCCAGAAGGGGTCTTCGCAGGATCCTGCAGGATCCGGCTCCCTGGCTGACCCCCGTCCTGCATTGGACACCCGCCTCTTAGGCTCCCGATTCCCGCCAGCGACGGCGGCACCGGTGGGTCCTCCTCCTCCTCCTCCTCCTCCTCCTCCTCCTCCTCCTCCTCCGCCTCCTCCTCCTCCTCCTCCTCCTCCTCCATCCCCGACGGGCAGGGTGCCCGTGCCGAGAGGAGGGCGTGTCTGAGATCTCGGGGGGGCCTTGGAGGCTGGCGCTCGAGCGCGGGCCGTTCGGCAACATCCCCCCCCCGGGGAGGAGGCGGAGGAGGAGGAGGAGGAGGAGGAGGAGGAGGAGGAGGCGAAGGGGGAGGAGGAGGAGGAGGAGGAGGAGGAGGAGGAGGAGGAGGAGGAGGAGGAGGAGGAGGAGGAGGAGGAGGAGGAGGAGGGAGGAGGAGGAGGAGGAGGAGGAGGAGGAGGAGGAGGAGGAGGAGGAGGAGGAGGAGGAGGAGTCTGGAGTCTGGAGTCCTGGGACGTAGTCCGAAACCAACTCATGAGGACCCCTTTCATGGTGCCTGGCGATCGAGCTCGGCTTGACTAGATGCCTCAGGGGAACAGACCCCGCTCGATGCGATTCAAGTACTCACGACGAGTAGGGGTGGCCTGCCCCAGGCACGCCTTGCGTAAGCTTAAATTCAGCTGGCGCCCGAGCATCCCACAACACGCGCAGAACCAAACCCCGAGGCCCTGTTGCAACCGCATGCGGTGGGAGGGGTGGGCCCACCCCCCAGCAATGTGTACCTGGGCATCGCTCGGACGTCTGTTCCCTGTGCTTTTTTCGGTTTCGTGCGTGGTTTTTTCGCCAAATGATCAAGGATGCTCCTCGATGGTCCTCGCCGAAGGAAAAATGCACACGTCCGAGCGATGCCAAGGTACTCTCGCCCCCTCTGGAAGCCCTCTCAGGGAGCCGTCAAACGACATCGATTTCGGGCTCTGGGTTCCTCTCCGCGCGCGGACCAGGTGGCGGCGGGCCCGAAGCACCGAGTACAGCGGCGGACCCTGTTGCGTCCAAAGTGTGGGAGGGCCCACCAAACCGACAAGGCAAAACCAGACGGAGGTGGCACACGCGGTGGAGGAGGTGGAGGAGGAGGAGGAGGAGGAGGAGGAGAAGGAGGAGGAGTCTGGAGTCTGGAGTCCTGGGACGTAGTCCGAAACCAACTCATGAGGACCCCTTTCATGGGCCTGGCGATCGAGCTCGGCTTGACTAGATGCCTCAGGGGAACAGACCCCGCCCGATGCGATGCAATTACTCACGACGAGTAGGGGTGGCCTGCCCCAGGCACGCCTTGCGTAAGCTTAAATTCAGCTGGCGCCCGAGCATCCCACAACACGCGCAGAACCAAACCCCGAGGCCCTGATGCAACCGCATGCGGTGGGAGGGGTGGGCCCACCCCCCCAGCAATGTGTACCTGGGCATCGCTCGGACGTCCATTCCCTGTGCTTTTTGTTCGGTTTCGTGCGTGGTTTTTGTCGCCAAATGATCAAGGATGCTCCTCGATGGTCCTCGCCGAAGGAAAAATGCACACGTCCGAGCGATGCCAAGGTACTCTCGCCCCCTCTGGAAGCCCTCTCAGGGAGCCGTCAAACGACATCGATTTCGGGCTCTGGGTTCCTCTCCGCGCGCGGACCAGGTGGCGGCGGGCCCGAAGCACCGAGTACAGCGGCGGACCCTGTTGCGTCCAACGTGTGGGAGGGCCCACCAAACCGACAAGGCAAAACCAGACGGAGGTGGCACACGCGGTGGAGGAGGTGGAGGAGGAGGAGGAGGAAGGAGGAGGAGTCTGGAGTCTGGAGTCCTGGGACGTAGTCCGAAACCAACTCATGAGGACCCCTTTCATGGGCCTGGCGATCGAGCTCGGCTTGACTAGATGCCTCAGGGGAACAGACCCCGCCCGATGCGATGCAATTACTCACGACGAGTAGGGGTGGCCTGCCCCAGGCACGCCTTGCGTAAGCTTAAATTCAGCTGGCGCCCGAGCATCCCACAACACGCGCAGAACCAAACCCCGAGGCCCTGATGCAACCGCATGCGGTGGGAGGGGTGGGCCCACCCCCCAGCAATGTGTGTACCTGGGCATCGCTCGGACGTCCTCGCCCTGTGAAAAATGCACACGTCCGAGCGATGCCAAGGTACTCTCGCCCCCTCTGGAAGCCCTCTCAGGGAGCCGTCAAACGACATCGATTTCGGGCTCTGGGTTCCTCTCCGCGCGCGGACCAGGTGGCGGCGGGCCCGAAGCACCGAGTACAGCGGCGGACCCTGTTGCGTCCAACGTGTGGGAGGGCCCACCAAACCGACAAGGCAAAACCAGACGGAGGTGGCACACGCGGTGGAGGAGGTGGAGGAGGAGGAGGAGAAGGAGGAGGAGTCTGGAGTCTGGAGTCCTGGGACGTAGTCCGAAACCAACTCATGAGGACCCCTTTCATGGGCCTGGCGATCGAGCTCGGCTTGACTAGATGCCTCAGGGGAACAGACCCCGCCCGATGCGATGCAATTACTCACGACGAGTAGGGGTGGCCTGCCCCAGGCACGCCTTGCGTAAGCTTAAATTCAGCTGGCGCCCGAGCATCCCACAACACGCGCAGAACCAAACCCCGAGGCCCTGATGCAACCGCATGCGGTGGGAGGGGTGGGCCCACCCCCCCAGCAATGTGTACCTGGGCATCGCTCGGACGTCCATTCCCTGTGTTTTTTTCGGTTTCGTGCGTGGTTGTTTCGCCAAATGATCAAGGACGCTCCTCGATTGTCCTCGCCGAAGGAAAAATGCACACGTCCGAGCGATGCCAAGGTACTCTCGCCCCCTCTGGAAGCCCTCTCAGGGAGCCGTCAAACGACATCGATTTCGGGCTCTGGGTTCCTCTCCGCGCGCGGACCAGGTGGCGGCGGGCCCGAAGCACCGAGTACAGCGGCGGACCCTGTTGCGTCCAAAGTGTGGGAGGGCCACCAAACCGACACGGCAAAACCAGACGGAAGTGGCACACGCGGTGGAGGAGGAGGAGGAGGAGAGGAGGAGGAGGAGGAGGAGGAGGAGGAGGAGGGAGGAGGAGGAGGAGGAGGAGGAGGAGGGGAGGAGAGGAGGAGGAGGAGGAGGAGGAGGAGTTGGAGGAGGAGGAGGAGGAGGAGGAGGAGGAGGAGGAGGAGGAGGAGGAGGGGGAGGGGGAGGGGGAGGAGGGGAGCTCTCACCGACGCCATCCACTGGCTTACTCCTCTGGGCCCTCCCGCCCGCGCCTCGATGGTGCCTGCGGCGCCTGACCTCGCCGTCGGCGTCTATCTCCTTCTCCTCTGGCGAAAGCATCGAGGGAGGCGCGGAGGATACGCATCCCAGTCCAACAAGCCTTCCTCTCAAACTCGTTCACATGGAAGCGGCCATGTTGTGCGACACGACACCTGGTGGCAGCTTCTCCTGCGATGATATCGGAAGCTGCGCTCCCTCTGACAACCCAGCTCTGACCCCTGCCCGCAGCCACATCACAGGCTTGAACATGCGAGCTGGTGAACAGGAAGTTTATGTGACCACGATTCCTGCAGGACATGAGCTCACAGGTGAGCCCCCAAATGCCCTCATTCTCTCCACTGGGATGTTTATCTCGTTCTGCATTCCAGCCGTCGAACATCGCTTGATTGTCGGTCGCGTAAATCACGTGGTCACTGGCCCACTTCAGCGCACACATGAACCGATACAACTCTCCTCTGGGTACCGACTGACGTGCCCCTGGCAGTGGGCCTCCGACTGCGCATAGCATCTGATCACAGCTCACGTCTGCAAGCTGGGCCAGACCCAGACCCACTCGGCGCAGGGAGTTGGGCCGGGAGGCCCCCCACCGCTGGCGTCCCCGAAGAGATGGCCGTTCCAGGTTGCCAGAGCCCAGACAGCCCTGGCCGACGCTCTGGACGTCGGTGCACCACCAGTCCTCCTCCTCGGGGGCCGCAGGTACAACCGAAGCGCACTGGGCAGCATGCCTCGCAGCCAGAGTCCCTCCTCGGCCTCGTGCTGCGAGATCGCCTGGCCCAAGAGAAAGTCCGAGTTCTGGTAGATCGGGCGCCTAGCGTTGGTGGGGCAAGTCCACGACCTATGCGTCGCAGTCTCCTCCTGCTCTCGGCACCGTGGACAGATCGGATCGATGCGGACCTTGGTCGTGGCCTGCGCGCGCCGACGGCGATGCCAGCTACCGCCTGCCGCGATCGAGACCGGGAGCTCCGACAAGCGGTTGCCGCGCATGGCCCTAGCGAACTGTCGAAGCAATGCTCTGAGGTATTCCGTGTCGACCCCTTTCTCCATCCCAGAGCCATTGAAATGCAAAGCAGCGTTCTCCCACAAAAGGGTCGCCGAGGCTGGGTCGAAGTCGCGGAAGAAAAGCATGGATGCAATTGAAGGCCATGATGCGTGAGTATCCCGACTCTGGGAACTGCCACTCGACCCCGTTCGGCGTGATCCAATGCGCTGGAGATCTCCGTTCCCAATTCCATTCCACAAGGTAAACAGCAACTGCTGACATAGGCCCTCGGACACGAGGGCGTCGCCGCGAACGTGGTACCAGCTGCAACTCCGCGACGACAGCGGGTCAGGCA